CATTTGGGAGGCCCAGAGCTGCCAGCACCTGTACACCTTCACAGGACACCGGGACGCTGTGTCGGTAAGGAGCTGGGCCTCCTTTAGTGGACATTTCTCAGGCACCGGAGTGGGCTCCAGGGAATGGCGTGACTGACGCAGACGGTCCTCATCCTCATAGAACCTGCACTTTGGTGTATAGGACAGAAACGGGGGGAAGCAATGGGGAAGAGTTGGGGGAGATTGAGTCGAGCTTGCCTAGGGAGAAGGAGGCCTCCGAGGAGTCTGTACTTGCTTGACAAGGGCAAGTGAGTGTACCTTTGGCTCCACATAGAGCCCCACAGAGCACTCTGGAGGAGGGCTGGCTCCCTGTGCCATAAGACGTGCTTTTCAGGGCGTCCTCCCTGGGCCTGACCTCTGTCTCGCCTGCTGTAGCCCAGGTCCCCTTCTTCCCTCTTTCCATGAACCCCCCAGGGGCTGGCGTTCCGCAGAGGCACCCACCAGCTCTACAGCACGTCCCATGACCGCTCTGTGAAGGTGTGGAATGTGGCGGAGAACTCCTACGTGGAGACGCTGTGAGTGTGCCTGGGGAGAGGGCATGCACACGCGTGTGTTCAGGTTCACGGGTGACCTCATCCTCCGTCTGTCCCTGCTCCAGCTTCGGGCACCAGGACGCCGTGGCAGCACTAGATGCTCTGAGCAGGGAGTGCTGTGTGACCGCCGGGGGCCGGGACGGGACCGTGCGTGTGTGGAAGATCCCCGAGGAGTCCCAGCTTGTCTTCTATGGCCACCAGTAAGGCGGCTGGCTGTGCCCAGCATGGGGGGCAGCATGGGCTGGGGGTGAGGCTGGGCCATGCCCCTCACGGCTCCTTTTTCAGGGGCTCCATCGACAGCATCCAGCTCATCAACGAGGAGCATATGGTGTCGGGTGCAGACGACGGGTAAGAGCTGCTTCCTGCCCTTGCCCCTGGGCTTGCCGCATAGAAAATCCCCCTGGTCGGGAGCTGGAGCAGCCCCTTTGCATAGGTGGGGACGTTGAGGCAGAGAGCGCACCTGTCTGCTCCGCGTGGCAGCTGCGCACTCGGTCCCTTCCTGCCATGTGGCCCTCTGCCCTGCCCCTAAGCTCTCACTGACCCTGCTCCTGCCCACAGTTCTGTGGCCCTGTGGGGCCTCTCCAAGAAGCGGCCACTTGCCCTGCAGCGTGAAGCCCATGGGCTGCGGGGGGAGCCGGGCTTGGAGCAGCCCTTCTGGGTGTCAGCAGTGGCAGCCCTGCTCAACACAGACCTTGTGGCCACAGGTGGGTGCCCTGCGGGGCAGAGAGGAGGGTATCCCAGGGTGGGGTGCTGAGGGGGTTGCTCACTGTCTCCCTGTCTCCCAGGCTCCCACAACAATTCTGTGCGGCTCTGGCAATGTGGAGAGGGCTTCCGGCAGCTTGACCTTCTCTACGACATCCCCCTGGTGAGTGGGGCTTGAATACCAGCCTGTCTTTACCACTCTCCAAAGCCTCTTACCAGTCTTTTCCTGACAGAAGGGTGGTTCCTCAGGGCAGGGCCAGCTGTGACTTCTCTTCGTAGCCCCAGCTCCTAATACAGGGCCTGCAGAAACTCTCCCTTCTTCCTCTCCCTTCTCTGCCTCCACTCCCCTCCCAAAGGAGCCCCAGGCCCTTCCTGGGTGCTGGGGTACAAGGCAGGGAAGTGTGCGCAGAGCACAGAGGGCCTGGCCCTGTGATGGGCTCTGCATGACTGGTGCCGGGCTGAATGTCAGGCTAGCGTGTGGACTTGGGGCAGCCTAGGGCAGAGTGGCAGTTCAGGGCTTGGTCATGGAGTCCCCTGAGCCAGGAGTCAGGCCATACTTGGTGCACACTGTCTCCCTAATCCCCACAAACTCTCTGCAAGGCCTGTAATCTCCTTTCCCCATTTCACAGATGTGGAGGCTGAGGCCCAGGCGGCAGAGGGCAGAGCAGGGTGGACCTTTGACTGTGATGCCAGGGCTGTGGTGGAGGGTCTCTTCTCATATCTCACTGTGTTGTCCTTCCCTCTTCTCAGGTGGGCTTTATCAACAGCCTCAAGTTCTCCAGTGCCGGGGACTTTCTGGTGGCTGGGGTGGGGCAGGAGCACAGGTATGAGGCACGCCTTGGGGGGCGAGGGTGGGAACAAAGGTGGACACTTCGGGGCACTGGGCCTGGCCTCAGCGGCATCCCTCCCTCCCTCAGGCTTGGCCGGTGGTGGCGGATCAAAGAGGCCCGGAACTCTGTCTGCATCATCCCTCTCCGCAGGGCCCCCAGGCCTCCGGCTGCTGGCTCCTGACACCCATCCCCTTTATTTAAGTTCTCCCTGGGTCATCCCTGCTTTCTTTGTATTAAAAGTCTCCTCTTTTGGGCCTTGTCTCCTCCAGCTTCTTGGGTGGGGAGGGCAGAGATGGCTTACTAAGGCCTAGGGGGCTTTAGCCTTTCCAGGGAATTTGGGGATGGGGCCCTTAGCTGGCTTCTGGCTCCTGGACCATGAGTGTCCTCTGTGACCTCACTAGGCCAGCTTCCCACCCCCTGCTCTGGGCTCATTTGGGTCAGTAGCTACTGACCCCTCAGCTAAGAAGCTGTGGCTGTCCAGTGTCTGTAAAGGGCTGGCTGTGGGGACTGAGGGCTGAAAAGAAGACTATCAGGGGGCTTCCCTGGTGGCTCAGTGGTAAAGAATCCGCTGCCAGTTGCAAGAGACGGGTTCAATCCCTGGTCTGAGAAGATCCCACATGCTGCAGGGCAGCTAAGCCTGTGCATGCTTGCATGCTTAGTCGCTTCAGTTGTGTCCGACTCTGTGACCCTGTGGACCGTGGCCTGCCAGGCTCCTCTGTCCATGGGATTCTCCAGGCAAGAATATTGGAGTGGGTTGCCATTTCCTTCTCCAGCTTGTGCACCACAGCTATTGAGCCTGTGCTCTCGAGTCTGGGAACCGCAACTACTGAAGCCTGCTCACCCAAGAGCCTGTGCTCCATAACGAGAGAAGCCAATGCAATGAAGAGCCTGAGCACCGCAACTAGAGGGTAGTCCCTGCTTGGCACAACTAGAAAAGCCCACACAGTAACGAAGACTCGGCACGGCCAAAAATAAATAAATAAAAATGAAAAGAAACTGTTGTCCCCAACAGATCATCATGGACGTATTCCTACAAGTCAGTCTGATCTGCCCCACCCAGGTCAGGTCAGGAAGCTTTAGGAGCCAGACTGCCCTTGGGGTGGGAGTCGGGGGTGGAGGTAGGACCCTGCATTGCTCACTGCTTGGGGGCAAGGGTCAGAGGTGGGAATAGCTCTGCCCTTGTTCCCAATGACAGCCAGGCTGCATGACTCCTGTGAGCAATGCCCCTGCCAGGTAAGCATGTCAAAGGAATGTTCATTCTCCTGATTTCACTTGATAATTCAGCTCCTTCTGTGGGGTGGAGTAAAGAGGAGATGGAGAGGCTTGACTGGAGAGGTAGAAGTGCAGTGAAGCCGCCTCTCCTCAGTGGAAAATCGGTGGAAAGAGAATGTTAAGGATTCTGCCCATACCTTTGCTTTCATGCCTTGAGTCCAACAGCTGAGCCTGTGGTTCTCAAGCAGCAGTGACCCCCCCCCCCCCCC